TGTTTAGTGTTTTATAATTTCTTTTCTGATCGTATAGAGCTCAAATGAATTTTCAGACTATATTTTGCCTAGCTTTTGACATCTTACAGAAAAGATTGCCTCACAATATCCCTAACATTCGCTCGTGTAAACTTTTTAAATGTGATATTACTCTCTAAACATATTTGTATATTAAATATATAGTTTTGATTAGCTTATGACACTGATTATCATGCTAAAATACTGCCTTATGCGTTATGTATTTTGTTTGCGAATAACTGCATATTTAGGTATAGCCTATTGATTTAGTGAAATATATTTCAGCCTCCGGTAGAATATGTGATACTGTCTAAAATACAATTTATTTTTTATATAAAAATGTTGAGTTTTGGTTAGCCTATGACACTACTTATGCTAAAATAGTGCCTTATGCGTAATGTAGCCTATTTTGTTTGCGAATAACTGCTTAGGTTATATAACGAGAAATATATTTCAGGCTCCGGTAAAAGAGGTCTAAATACAATATATGTTTTATATAATTAAATGTTCAGTTTTGGTTAGCCTATGACACTATATCATGCGTAAATAACTGAATACAGGTGTAAATGTTTGAAATGTAGTGATGTGTCGTTCGCGAACGATCCGTTCATTGCGTGTAGGCCTATCACTAAATGCATGCGGTCTATATAGGCCATCAACAGATATTTCGATAACACTTTATAATAACTGCATGCTATTAATCATTTGTTAAGCATGAGTAAACAGTTAATTCATCATTTATAAAGCATTAATATACATTAATAAGCAGTTTATAAATACAGCTATAAACGCTTTTTTTCTTGATTTATAAGCATATCTATAATGCGTTTAATAATTGTATTTTCATACTTTGTTAATGATCAATTAATAATTTCTAAATGAAGTATAGCATTATTTACAAACAAGAGTTGTCAGTCATTCATAAGATCACTTAGAAAGTGTAAGTAAATGTAGTAAATGCAGGTAGTTGTAAAGTATTTAGTAGTGGTCAGTATTTTGTGAGCTAATCTAAAGTGAGGACTATTCATGCCTTGTAAAGCATTTATAAAGGAGATTTGAAGGCGCATCAATCTTCTAAACAGTAAAATGTAACAAACACAACACAGTGATTCAGAACATAGAAATATTTAACAGCCTTTAAATCTCCTTTATAAATGCTTTACAAGGCATGAATAGTCCTCACTTTAGATGAGCTCACAAACATAGTTAACTGACCACTACTAAATCCTTTATAACTACCCGAGTTAACCCTGAATTACAGCATAAATACATGTTAATAAAGCATTTATTAACACACTAAGTAACCATCACTATATGTCTGAATAATAAGATGTATGAATGTACATTTAAATAGTTTATTAATCATTTACTTACACGTTCTAAGTAATCTTATGAACCACTGAAAACTCTCAAATAACTGGTTTATAAAAAATGCAATTATTCATTTAGAAATAATAAATTGATCATTAATAAAGGATGAAAATACAATTATTAAATAAATTATAGATATGCTTGTAAATCAAGAAGAAAGCATTTATAGCTGTATTTATAAACTGCTTATTAATGTCTATTAATGCTTTATGAATGATGAATTAACTGTTTACTCATGCTTAACTAATGATTATTAGCGTGTAGTTATTATAAAGTGTTACCGATATTTCTCCGTCCCATGGCCCATCAACAGATGTATACATACATTGTGCATCCATACCCATTAATTGTCCATCAGTTTACTTTGGATAATGTATGCTAACAGTTTTTTTTATTTTTTATGAATGTGTCTGCATCATGCTCTCCTTCGCCAGCGACTCGCAGAGGGACACGCAGGTGTTGTTCAGTTCTCAGTGCGATCGAAAATCATACTGAGTAAGTGCACAGACGTAATATTTTACAGATGAAATTTAGCCTAATTGTGTTTACATCGTCATAATGTAGGCTACCTATTCTTGTGTGAAATTACAAACCAAAAAAATTATCAATGGCAATTAGTGATTGATAATGATAATAATACAGTTTATTTGATTGTGTTATCAGCATGCTCATGCTTTTTTCTTTTTTATAACAGATGTGACAATGAACACGTCCATCCACCAGTTCCGAAGAGAGCCAAGGCAAACAAGCAGGCAAGCAACAGGCAGTCCACTTTTTTATATATAAAAAAAAACAAGTTTGGTTTTGTTTTTTTGAAAGGATGTGTTAAGTGATAGTAATGACTTTAAGTCTTTACGTTCTTAGAAAATATTTCTATTTTGAATGAATGCTGTTCTTTTTAACTTTTTATTCATCAGTGAATCATTCTTAGTTCAGGCTGCCTCACAGCACCTTGATGGGCCATTGGGGGAGTGTCTTTAGTCTTCCCACCCAGGTGTAAATCACATTAATATTCATGGCCATTCACACTCCCACGCATACAGCAGTGCTGACCAAAAACTGACGTAAGACATTTAAATCATTATATTGTTGTTTGTAAAAGAGGGGTCAGAATGATTTTCACTTCATTTTGAACTAAAAATTCTAGCCTACAAGAATAGTAACTCAAAAGTCTTGTGGACAACTATTCAGTATGTGTTAAATGGCCTTATTGCGGTGACATTTTTTTCCCCAAAACGTACTAACCACGCATAATTTTTTTTTTCTATAAAATGCAAACATGTATATCCATTTTGCTCACATATTATTGTAGCAGAGTTTGTGCTAAATACAGCAAATTTATATGTTGGCAAATGGTATGTTTTAAGTAGCTGAAATAAGCACAAATGTCAGGGCATGTCAAAACATCTCAAGGGCCCCAAAAACACCTCAGACCCCAGAGGGTTAATGTAGGCTACACAAATTCGTGTTCGCTTCAGTCTTGTTATAATCAGATTCAGCGCGTTCTTCATCTTCAATCCGCAGCGGCGCCGAGCTTTTTTTAGGTCATAAATGGTAAACGAATGACAAAAAACAATCAGGCAAACTAATATAGTTTTGTCTAATTTCGCCATTTTGAACTGAAAATAGGCCTATGTAACGTGACTCATGTAATGTAATAATTAGTTTACAAGAAACATTAACAAAGCCGTTTTCATTATGTTAGGCACAAGATTAATAATGAATGTGTACATATTGAGAATATAATACAAATTGTAGCCTTTAGTAAATTTAAAAAGCTCAGCTTTAGGAGGGGAAGAGAAAGGGATGAAGAGACTGAGAAAAAAAGAAAGAGTGATGGAGATGAGAAGAGAGCAGGTATTGACAAATAATCTACTGCCCACTGACATGGTTTTAAAGCTATTTCTTATGCTTTTTTTTTTGGTCTTCAAACATCTTGAAATGCACATAGGCCTATCAGAGAAATACAAAATGTGAACCCCCTACCAACCTCAAATTTAGGACCTCTGTGATTATAAAGCCCTGTCTACGGCCCTGTATTAGGCATAAGATCAATAATAAATGTGTAGCCTACATATTGTGAATGCATTTAATAAACTTAATTACCTTTAGTAGCTTTCAGTAAATAAACGTGTCTGAGAAAATGATTCATAGGCAAAATCAACCTTAGCCCCCCTAAAATGAAAATCCTAGTGACGCCCCTGGCGCCAAGCAGCCTGATTGGTTCGCGCATCTGAGCCGCCTCGCCATAGGTTCATGCAGGTGCCTCAGCACAGCCAATGATCGCGCTAGTCACTCATCTGTGTCTGCTGTGCAGCTGTACTGCGTTTTAAAAACATTTGGCTTCAGTATTCTCGAGAAAAGGAGTTTTCCCACAGCGTAAGCTAGCTTACGCAATACTCGTTCCCTCATATCAGGGAACCGAGGTTACGTTAGTAACCGAGACGTTTTGCAGCCTTGGCTAAAAGAAGTATACATGAGACTAGATACTGATATCTAGTCCCCCCCTACACCTGTTTTCTATCGTGGTTTGTGTGCTTGTTGTGTGTTTGTTATTGTATGGTCTTGGAGTTCTGTTGTGTTTGAGGTATTCATGTTCTGCAGAACAGGAACCTGCTGAAAATCAGTTTTATCCTGAGTCAGGCCCGATTGCTCTTAATCTTTTCCTGTTTAAATAAATAAATAAATAAATATGAGATGTTATCGCTCTGCTGCAGAATTTCAACAGCATCAACATTGATTCCATGTGACAATATAAGATCTAAAGTATTTGTAGTAAAGTATGATTAGGGCAATGAGTGGGTCCTGACATGTGTTGCCTAACTCCAATAGAATTTAGAATGTCTCTAAATGCTAATCCCCATGTGTCTTCATCATTATCTACATAGATATTAAAATCACCAACAATTTAGCAATGCAGGCTGCATAAAGATGCAGCCTGCATTGTTATAATGTTATTATATTGTAGTTTCAATGACTTTTAAGTAATTAATATTTAGTTATGTCAAATATGTGAATATATTGTTATAATTAGCTACTGTGTTCTTATACATATTTATTGTGAGCAATAATATAGTTACTAAATATTCGTTTATTTGTAAATAATTTTTTTAAAGTATGATTTTAAACTGCTATAAGCAATACCATATTGCTGAGGAGATTTGGGTTTTAACATATCAAAATTACCATTCATGACCTCTAATACAAACATTAGCCAGTAAAATACATAATTGATACATCTAATTGGTACAGCAAACAAGTGTAAAACTTTGATATTTGATAATTGCCCATTGAAAAAGCAAATAAATGACTTCTAAGTAATTATACAAATAATATAAATGTAACTATAACTGTTCGTATAATATCGTATCTTAATGAGTCTCTGTAAATATATTTATAGAACAGTAATACTTACTTATATACAGATTGGCGCTATAATTCATTATACTGTAAGCATGGGCTTCATGGAAAGTGTTACCGTGTGTGTGTGTGTGTGTGTGTTTGTGTTCCCCACACACTTTGCATTCAGGGTTTTGTGTTCCACCGAGAAACTTTGCAGTGTTCAAGTACTTTTTGAGACAAGTGTAAATGATACAATCACTGGTTCTTACCACATCGGTTAAATCTCTGCCCAAGAAAGGGAGGGAATGATAGAGGGCTATCGTGATGAAAGCTGTTAAAGAGGCATCTTGCTCAACTCCTCTAATACCTCCCTACAACAGAAACAATGAATATCAGCACATTTATTGCAGTACCACAGGAATCCAATTCCTGTTTATACTATTTTGCAATGTTTGACATGTTGTTTGACATAATAAAGTTTTTTTCCAAAACCCCATGGTTTACTGGCAAATGATGGAAGGCATTCAGACCTGCATTTCCCTGTGTATGACTGGATTAGCATCAGTGAAGGACCCATCTGAGCTCTGTGTTCCAATCAGAAATGTGACTGCTTGGCGGATGTCCTCCTGTGAAATCAACTTTTCCGTTGAACTTTGCTGTTTAAGAGTTCCTATCTGTCCTTCAGCAACAAGGGACAACACTTTTGCCACCAGCGCAGTCAACCTACGAGAAATGAGAAGCCATCTATTACTTCGAATAGGTTGGAATTAAAAAACAACAACAACAACAACAACATTTTATTTGCAAAAATAGATATGTGGTAAGTGCAGCACTGAATTGCACAAAAGAGGTCACATTTTTGTGACTTGGCATATCTTTGGCATCTAATGCAAATTAAATTTACCATCACATTTAAATGCATATCAAATTTACCAGGTACTTGTTGGATGGTCTTGCCAAGCTCCATAGGATCCATCAGGCTTTTTGAACATTAAAATTCGCTCATAACCTGCCAGGATAAAATGATGCCACAAACCTTTAGAGTCAGAGCAGGGTACAGCCTGATGCAATCAAATTGTGTTAAATAATAGGCCTTAGGCAAGAAATAAATTATATTAAAAAAAAATATTGCAAACAGGGGTGTGTGGGATATTTGGTGCTGACTAAAGAGAGTTCACCCAAAATACAAATTCTGTTATTAATTTTTCACATTTATTTCAAACCCCATATCATTTTCTTAAAGGGGTCTCTGATGCGATTTCTTGTTTTCCTTTTTCTTTAGTGTGTTATGTAGCTGTTAGTGCAAGTATAAGATTTGTATATTTACAAAGCTCAAGTCTCAAACCCAAAGAGATATTCTTTATAAAAGTTAACACACAGTCACGCCTTCATAAAATGCTTTGTTCAAACACGCCCCCACAAATCTACGTCAGTGTGTTGGGGCATGGGTCACATAAGTAACACCGCCCAAATGTATACGCAAAGAAAGAAGATATAACTTTTATTCTTGCTGCATTATTGTTGCCGCCGGCGCCCCATGTTGTGGAGACGCTGTGTTTTTCATTGTGAAAGCCAAACTACTTTGTTTGGCCTTCCAAAATAGGACACAATTAGAAAACCGTGTTTAAGCATTATTTACAACACTGTTCCAGAACAGTACAACTAAAATTGTTGACTGTGTGCTGCGCATTTTTCAGAGGACTGTTTCCAGAACCTCTGAGATTATAAGGCCGGTGTTGTGCCTAATTTCGACCGCCTGCCAAATTATTACCCCCCTCGTTGAAGTCAGTACCTGATTGCCTAATCCCAACCCCGCCCCTAATCCTACCCCCTCCCCCACAACTATTCCTAAACCTATATGCTAGGGGGGTAATAATTTGGCGGGGGTCGAAATTCGGCACAACACCGGCTGTGCACAAAGGCTTCCAGAACCTGCGAGATTATAAGGCCGGCTGTGCACAAAGGCTGATTCTAAAAAGTCATCATGCATGCATCTTTGCATGTACATTCTGGTGCTTCTGACTCACACAGCCTGTAAGTATGGTTTCATATTTTAAGAAATTGCTACTGACTATTCAAACACGAGTTTTGTGCAGTATAGAGTAGTGCTTGCTTGTCGTTTCTACGATAAAAAATGCAGATAGTTTTATACATAGTGTCCTCACACCCGTAGCGCGGAGCGACGCGTAAAAAGACAGTATAAGTTATTGTAATCAGTAATTATGTCCCCAATGAAATAAAACCTTACCAATCTGATACGATCTGGTCCAGTCGTGCTGGCAAAGTTGATCGATCAGCTTGGACATCTGCATTTTCCGTATCAGATACGGGCTCGAATTGATAATAAGGTAGAACCGACATTATCACCTGTTTTTATTGCTTTGGGAGCTTATGTAATTAATAAGGTTAGGGGCGTGACATTTCCGCGTTAAAAAAAATTGATGCGTTTCAGAAAGGCGGGGCATAGAGGAGCAAATAATGTACAGTATGTGTAAAATAATGACTTTTTTTTACCTAAAACCGCGTAAACACATTGCATTAAACCAAATACACAAAATAACGTTCTTTTTAGAACCATCATATGACCCCTTTATTGAAAAATGTAAATACTTTTTTTTAAAGACTGTTTTGACATTTTTGTTAAATTGCATGTACCCAAGGTCCAATGGACTGTCATTAAAAAAAATATATATATATATATATATTTTAAAATTAATAATATATATATATATATATATATATATATATATATAAATTTTTTTTTTTTTTTCTTATGTGGAATACAGGTACACTAAACCTTGCTCAATGAAATCCAATGCTTTGTCTCTGGATCCTGCTCCCAGTTTCAGCCAGCACTGAGTTTTGTCTATGTAGCGGACTGCCAAGGCAGTTGGAGACATAAAGATCATCGTCTGCTCTCCACAGCCTTTCGGTGCCCGGATCAGATTTTCCACTTTGGATGGTGAGAGTAGTGGAACAGCAGTGGACTGGACAAATGCTACTTCTGCATTCAAAAGATTTTAGTTAAATCTAAGATAATACAATAAATATGGGTTTGATACCCAATAAGTGACAATAAATAAGAAATATCAAAAATGGAGAATTTGACAGCATTCACAACAACTACATTTTAAAGATATGTTGCTTTGGACCTTCTAGTTTGACAAACAAGTTGACATCCGTTTCAGGAACAGTGTTGTTTGGGAAAAATCCATCAATAAACAACTGCCGGTCATGTGTACCTGATGAGCAGAGTTCAGGTATTTATACACGTGTATAAATATGTATATAACATATTTATGTCACAAACTTTGTCAGAGCTTTAAAAAAAATAGCCAAAATATGTGTATATCTGTAATGGATGATCGGTAACACTTCAGAATAGTGTTCTATTATTAAAGAATAACAACACAGGAACAAATGAGTAATGACTAACAACACGGGAATAAGTAACTACAGAACAGTATTCAAAAGTGTGACTGGGTGATCAAATGAGAGCTATCAATCTCACCATCAAGATTAATAAAATAAGTCTGCTCTTCTCTCATTTCCACTCCCTCATTCTGTGACATGAAGAGAAAGACAAAAGATAGATTTTAGAATCACTGAAATCCAATTGTTCCTAAAACAACAAAGGATATGAGTTAAATTTGGGTATATTCTGATATTTCACTTCCCCTTACCTTGACCAGGAGCATCTCTTGAACAGAAGCCACTCTAGGTTTTTCATTTTCATCTTCATAAAGTTCAATAGTGATAGGGATTTGGCCTGTTGCCATGGGAACGGCAGGAAAAGTCACAGTTTGAGAGGACTGTTGCTCCAGACTGATTCTGACAGTGGAAGAGGAAGATGCTGACCCGGGTGAACAAAGACCATCCACTTTCTTCATTTGCACAACAAGCTGACCAGGAAAGTGATGAACAACATATATTAATCTCAGAAATCATTTGTCTACTAATGTAACAAATACTCTTATGATGATTTAAATTTGGTTTTATTTAAAACAATTATCATATGACTGAACCAACTTGACTACACCAATGAAGTCAATTTTAAGGACAGGTGGAAATAAATTCTTTAACGTAACAACAGCAACTTTTTACAGTTTCAATGAATTAATTAATTTGATAATAAACATAAATTTTAAGTTTATGCACTAGTAAAATGTATCTTCTGTAAATGGTTATACCAGTTATTATTGTCAAAGTGGTACCATAGTGCAGTGAATTTGTTCTGAATTTCTTTTCTTTTTTAAACAAACCTCTCTTTTCATCTTTCCATAATTAAAGATCACCACAACTATAGACAGTTGTTCAAAGCGTTTGACCGAATAGGGAAGCCTCAAGGATATAAAAACCGGCTTAAATACAGGAAGGTCAACAGGCTCTGTCACACAAAATCCTGTAAATAATAAAAGTAAAAAGTTTAGTTCTTTGGTGGATTGAAATTAAATTTGATAGCAGTGAAAGTGGAATATTACCATGGGATGCAGATAAGCTGAGAGCCTGGATCTCCCATGTTGTGATAGAGTGGGGTAAATGAATTGTGTGTCTGGAAGAAAGACCTGGTGCAATTAAATCATTATACAAGACCTTTGTACACACTAACACTTAACACTGTTTAAAAAAAAATGGAAACATTTTAAATTGTAATAACTTTATGTATAATATTGTAAAAGTGAGCACTTTTTTGCCTTAGACTCTCACATATTATGGACTTAAATGTAACATTTATATATTCTTAATTTATAGTTACAGAAAGATAAGCTATTCACCTAACTTTTCCTTTCACATCCATCTGCTTAAAACCAAAGCTTGGAGGGAAGTATCTGCGGAATGTTTGTATTTCAAAATCAAAGAATTCCTCATCTTCATTAAAATCAGCACCTAGGGAGATTAAATATCGGTGAATCGTTTGTGATTTTTTTTAAATTGTTTTTGTTTTGATTACTTCACTGTACAGATTGTGGCACAGCTTAATTTACAAAAGCCTTTGTGTAATGATAGCTTACATGGAGCAGACGAAGGCAATGGTGAAGATCATTTATTTACAATAGTGAAGAACCAAAACTGTGAAACCAAACAAACTAAATCCTGGCATTAAACACAACATAAACTATGAACTTGACAACAAACAAAGGGCCTGGCATGTGGAACATGGAAGCGTGTAAACAGCATAACGTTTTTCAATATATTACAAAGTAACATGCAAACTTAAGGGCTAAAATATGAGACTGTGGGGATCACATGACAAAAGCAACCAATGGATAGACAGAACTAATGAAACAAGAACCAATGAGAACATGACACATGAAAAAAGGGAACCAAGGAAAACAAGAAACATGAACAGGGAAGTGTCAGGGTTCTCTTACGAGAGGTTCTCTCGTACTGCGTAATATCTTACGCTAGGGGAAAACCTCTTTTCCTCAAGATATTGAAGCCAAAAATTATCTTTAATTTTGAATTAATGTAAAACGCATTGCAGCAGCATGCAGACATAGGCAAAGGCGGCTAGCGTGCCTATTGGCTGCCCTGCGGCAATTGCTGCAGCCTATCGAGAGAGGCCCTTCTGTGACGGTCCAATGGGGACGCTTCGCGCCCACTGCGTCACCCTCCCACCGAAACGGGCGTGGCCTAGCCCTATAAATATAGCTCGATGGGCTGATATAATCTGATTTTCATCTCTTCAGCGAAGCTCACGCATCGCTGGATCCAGAGTGAGAAGCCACGCCGTCGAGCTTTCTGCGGGACGAACCTCTGCACTGAAGTCGCTGGCCTTCCCCTCGCCGCCTTCAGCCACCGTTCCTGCTACGCTATTCGGCGTACTATATATCCTTTACTCTGCTCTGTGTGTGTGTGTGTGTGTGTGTTCGCCCCGCGACTCACACGCCTATCATCTAAAAGAGCCTTTTTAAAGATGCCATCCTCCTGTGGCTCGTGCCGAGCCCCACTCAGTGACGGGGACCGCCATGTGATGCGTTCCTGCCTGGGAGAGGATCATGCAGCTCTCGCGCTCGCCGACGGCAGCTGCCCTCACTGCGAGCTATTGCCTACGGTGACTCTGAGGACTCGCCTGGCATCCTTCAGCGAGACTGCACTTCCACCTGCTACAGTGCCGTGCCGTAAAAGCGCCATACTCAGCGGGTCCCCGAGCCTTCTCCAGCCCGTGAAAGCTCGCCGGTTCGCCCGCCAGCTTCACCAGCTTCACTCGAGTCGCTCAATGACGGATAACGCCGCCGCGCGCCGCCGCTTCCACCATTAATGACGACGAGAAAGCTGCATCTGTAGAGAAGGCCAGCTGCTCTATCCTGACGTCAGACAGTGAGGATTGGGTGAGCTCTGTGGACCTCCCCTCCTTCTGTCCGCGAGTCGTCAGGGAAACGGGCAAACATCAAGACCGCGGCTAGCTTTCTTTACGTTATAAGAAAGATACCCCGCCCCCACCCCCCATGGGCGTGCGTCACCGGCAAAATGAGGGAAGAGTGTGTTTTAGTCCCGCCGAGGCCGGACCAATCTCCATTTCTCAAACATTTCTCAGCTCCTCTTAGTTTGAGCGGCTGAAAATGTCAATATTGTAGCAATGAGCCTGTTGTATAACACGCACACCTGCACACAAACGCCGACACACACAAAACTGTGATGACACTCTCTTATCTGCTCTTATCTGAATTAATGCATATTAGTGCACCCGTATTGTAAAGTGTTACCAATTATTCTTTTCCCCCATCTAGTTCAGACCCTGCATTTCGCCTCTGGTCATCTAACGGCCTTCTCAAGATTGGTGACCTCTATGAGGATGGTGTATTTGTCTCTTTCTCCTCGTTATCTAAAAAGTATAACCTACCCAGTCATCACTTATTTCGGTTCTTTCAAATCAGACACTTCATACAGAAGCAGTTCCCCTACTTTCCCAATCGTCCCCCTGAAACAAAAATTGATCACTTTCTTGCTTTAAAGGGTTAGTTCGCCCATTTAAGACATGAAGTTGTATGCAATCCTTACCAGCACTATAGTGCATACACACTGACCCAATCTGTTGTCACCTCCCTGGTCAGAGTTCTGGCCGCTGGAAGTTTTTCAAAAAAGTACTCCCGGTTATTTTCCGGTGCCACAAAACTGTGCGTTTTTACGTGAAAAAATTATTTGCGTTTCAAAGCTTGATTAATTTACCACACAAAAAACACGCCGGTCAAAATTCATACCTCAGTTTTAATCGGCACTATTTTCTATCCATTTCTATCAATCCGCGCTGCTGTCAACGTCAACAGTGCGCACGTTCCGATCAGCTGTTGATAGCGCGACTCGCTGACAACATGTCTGACTGCGAAACTTCTGATGATGAAACCAATTTTAGCACATTGTCAGACGGATCAGATGATGAAAGTAATTTTAGCACGACATTTGATTGCAACACAAAACCTCAATTGTGTGTGTGTTCAATCAAATAGTTTTCTCAGCAAATTGTACCAATATCCCTATAGCTGTTTTTATATTAGACATCTTTTCACGTGTTTTATAATGGAGTCTAAACATCAGCTTGTTTACCGTACAGTTTAGACATGGGATCATAAAGTTAGTAAATAGAGCTTACCCGTGGTACTGGTAGACAGCAAAACTCTTTAATTTTCCTTTTCCTCCTTGATTGGGGATGTAATCGTCTTCGCTGAAGTGAGCACTACACACGCGAAAATCCTTTATTTTGGATATTTTAGCTCCCGCAGAGTAGCCGATGGCAACCAGCCAAATCAACAACACGCGCTTGCACCCCCTGCTGGTGAGGTCGACTAACAACAGATGGAGATTATGCTCGGTAAGCTGTCTCATAGTTATATTCGAAACAAGAAAAACGATAGCCTGGCATGCCAGACCTACATCAAGATGTTAGGTCTGGGAACTCTCCATAGACATACCTCAATCCGAGGGGCGGGATAAACGGTTACCTTTCAAAATCCCTCTGCACGCAATAGGATAGTGCTACAACCAACCAGAGCAACGAACAGTTGTGGATGAGTGAGTCCCATGCGTTTTTCCACCAGAGGAGCTAATTGATATATTAAACTTTTGCCGTATCAGGTCGGTAAAACTCCGAACACATCTTCCTTTTTTAAGAATGACTTAAGTGACGTTCTCTTAACTCCAAGTCCTCCAGAGTCGCGGCCAAAGCCGATTCGAAAGACCGCTGCATCTTCATTGTTTTCAAGTAGCAGGAAAATCACCTATGGAAATCACGCGGAACGTCATGAACTGTGCCGTCATTGTGTTAAGCCCGCCCGCCGACTCTATATACGATGTAATTGGCCTGACCAGTTTTTGGTTTTTACAGCTCAAAAGCCTATGGAGAGTTGCTAGACCACACTGGCTGCGAAATAATTTACGCTGCCGCTAGGGTGCGTCTAGATTTCTAGGCTAGGAAAACGATGGAATCTGAACTTTGATCCCGGCACATCCTTGTGGTCACAGCCTGGGAATTTACAAGTTCGCACAATTGTTAATTTAATACTTTTTACGTTGTTGTCAATCGATTGTGTAAACACTATGGAACAGCTGATCGGAACGTGCGCACTGTTGACGTTGACAGCAGCGCGGATTGATAGAAATGGATAGAAAATAGTGCCAAATAAAACTGAGGTATGAATTTTGACCGGCGTGTTTTTTGTGTGGTAAATTAATCAAGCTTTGAAACGCAAATAATTTTTTCACGTAAAAACGCACAGTTTTGTGGCACCGGAAAATAACCGGGAGTACTTTATTGAAAAACTTCCAGCGGCCAGAACTCTGACCAGGGAGGTGACAACAGAGTGGGTCAGTGTGTATGCACTATAGTGCTGGTAAGGATTGCATACAACTTCATGTCTTAAATGGGCGAACTAACCCTTTAAATGCCAACCACAGGCATTTAATCTCAGTCATTAATAATTTAATAAATTATATTAATCCAGACCTTAATGACACTCTCAAAGATACCTGGGAGCAGGACCTTAGTGTTACCATTACTGAGGATCTATGGCATAACATCTTGAACCAGGTACATACCTCTTCCATATGTGCCAGGCATGGCTTAATTCAATGTAAAACTGTTCCGAGCGCACTTAACCAATGCCAACTTGGCAAAAATGTTTCCAGACAAGAGTGCTGCCTGTAATCGTTGTAAACATCCACCTGCCAACCATCTACACATGTTTTGGACTTGCCCACAGCTGGTAACCTTTTGCTCTAATGTATTTCAGATGCTTAAAAAAGCTTTTTTCCTGATTTGGTTGCCCGAGATCGTAAAGTCATCGCTTTTACTACAGTCCTGGCCAGAGGGGCCATCCTTCTTAAGTGGAGGCATGCTTCTCCACCAACACATGACAGGTGGATACAGGACATTTTCTACTGTATTGGACTTGAAAAGTTAAGATACTCACTCTCTGGTTCACTTAAATCCTTTTACAAGACTTGGGATTCCTTTTTAAATTACAATAAGGGTTTACCCTGTGCACCTGTAACTGGCAATGGTACATAATTTTCACTTATTAGAAGGATCTTTGTAGGGAAAATGTAACTATTATTATTATTTTATATTTATATTATATTATTATATATATATTTTTTTCAATTAATTTTTTTTTTTGAGCTATTGGATTGAGGGGGGGGGGGGGGGGGGGGATCATGTAAGGGATTAATAATGGACAATATTTTACTGTCTACTGTTTATGATGTTTTATTTTGTACTGTCACTGAAAACCAATAAAAAACATTTGGAGTACAAAAATTGTTAATTAGGAAAACATTTTACACACACACAAAAAAACAGTTACACAAAGTTAAATTTTCACACAGTGTGACAGTAATTGTAATTATTATTATTATTATTTTTTTGCCTCAAAAAAACTGACAAATGACAAAAGAATTAATGAAAACAAACAGTAAGGAGATTGCTGCTCAAGTTCAGTTCAAGTTAGATTTCATCCCACCCCCCCCGAAAAAAAAAGAGAGTCCTTGATTCATCAATGTCTTAAAGTTCGGGGTTTTTTTTATATGTAGTTTTTCTGTTAAATTTCAGCCAACAGAAAGAAGGGTGAAAAAAATGTTTTATTAATAAATAAATAATCAAACAAGTGTTTGGTGAGTGGGTGTGTGCATGTGTAATGAGCGGGTATGTGTGTGTTGACTGCGTGAAGCAGTCTGTGTAGCGGCCACAGCACTGCAAATTCAGGGCCGGGGAAAGAGTTTGAAGACTTGGTGTGGGGTTAAAAGAGACAGAGACACAGACACTCCAGCAACGAATAGCAAAGACAGCCTCCAGGTAGCGTGTGTCCCACTGAGATAACCTACATGTTTGTTTGTTTGTTTTTTCCGCTACTCCTCTTCCGTTTCTCTCTCTCTTTTATATTAAATTTCCTCTCCACTTCCTCATTGGTTTCCACCCATTAGGAAAAGTGAAAAAGCCGGTATGGATTTAATGAATAAAAAATAAAAAATCCCTGGCTCCACCAGCTCTCAACAAAGTAACATGGCAAACATAAGGGCTTAAAAACAAGACTATGGGGATCACATGACAAAAACAACAGACAGAACTAATAAAACAATAACCAATAAGAACATAGCTGCATCCGATACTTCCGAACTACACTCACCGGCCACTTTATTAGGTACACCTGTCCAACTGCTCGTTAACACTTAATTTCTAAGCAGCCAATCACATGGCGGCAACTCAGTGCATTTAGGCATGTAGACATGGTCAAGACAATCTCCTGCAGTTCAAACCGAGCATCAGTATGGGGAAGAAAGTTGATTTGAGTGACTTTGAACGTGGCATGATTGTTGGTGCCAGAAGGGCTGGTCTGAGTATTTCAGAAACTGCTAATCTACTAGGATTTTCACGCACAACCATCTCTAGGGTTTACAGAGAATGGTCCGAAAAGGAAAAAACATCCAGTGAGCGGCAGTTCTGTGGGCGGAAATGCCTTGTTGATGCCAGAGGTCAGAGGAGAATGGCCAGACTGGTTCGAGCTGATAGAAGGGCAACAGTGACTGAAATAACCACTCGTTACAACCGAGGTATATAGCAAAGCATTTGTGAAGCCACAACACGCACAACCTTGAGGCGGATGGGCTACAACAGCAGAAGACTCATCTCCACTACAAATCTCATCTCCACTACAAATAGGAAAAAGAGGCTACAATTTGCAAGAGCTCACCAAAATTGAACAGTTGAAGACTGGAAAAATGTTGCCTGGTCTGATGAGTCTCGATTTCTGTTGAGACATTCAGATGTTAGAGTCAGAATTTGGCGTAAACAGAATGAGAACATGGAACCATCATGCCTTGTTACCACTGTGCAGGCTGGTGGTGGTGGTGTAATGGTGTGGGGGATGTTTTCCTGGCACACTTTAGGCCCCTTAGTGCCAATTGGGCATCGTTTAAATGCCACGGCCTACCTGAGCATTGTTTCTGACCATGTCCATCCCTTTATGGCCACCATGTACCCATCCTCTGATGGCTGCTTCCACCATGTCACAAAGCTCTAATCATTTCAAATTGGTTTCTTGAGCATGACAATGAGTTCACTGTACTAAAATGGCCTCCACAGTCACCAGATCTCAACCCAATAGAGCATCTTTGGGATGTGGTGGAACGGGAGATTCGCAACATGGATGTGCAGCCGACAAATCTGCGGCAACTGTGTGATGCCATCATGTCAATATGGACCAAACTCCCTGAGGAATGCTTCCAGCACCTTCTTGAATCTATGCCACGAAGAATTGAGGCAGTTCTGAAGGCAAAAGGGGGTCCAACCCGTTACTAGCATGGGGTACCTAATAAAGTGGCCGGTGAGTGTATATAGTAGGTGAAAAAGAGAATGTGACAAAAGTAGTATGTCCGAATTCACAGTATTCGTAAAAGAGTAGGCAAAAAGTACACGGATGACCTACTATTTACTATGGGATACTTTACTATCCCATGAGGCCATATGGGAGATGATTTGTGAATGGCAGTGAAGTGATAATGATAATGATAATGTATATGATAATGACAACATGGCGGATGTAGTACGTCTGGATTACACACATACATACATAGAATGCACTTTTTTTTAGCAGTCATGAAGTAATTACTTATTAAAATAAAGAGAGTATGTGATTTCGGACACAGACCCAGACACATCAAACAAAGGAACCAATGAAATCAAGACACGTGAACAGAGAAAGCACACGCCAGAACCACATGACGGGAACAGGGAATCACATGGCAAGACTAGATTCCAAAATCAGACATGAAAGACATGAAACAAAACCAAAGCAGATATGACACTTTGAAAGCACTTTTAGTTTTTTTACTGACTTGTGCATGCATGATAGCTTTTCATTAGAGGCTATACTTACTTTTTCTATCCCCTTTCTTCGGGTTCTCTTCTCTTTTTTTGTCTCTTAGCTGGGTTGCAAACTCACAGCACTCTTGGAAGGCATTTGCACAGTTTCTGTTTCCCATTTTGCTCACTCTCTTTGCTCTGTCCTTGCAAGCGAACCTCATAGGAACCAGGGTGAAACCATGGCGACAACATTTCTGCAATTCATCTATCTTAAATGCAGCCTCTAAGGGGAAAAAAATGAGCAGGAGGGGTTGACAGTAATTGTACAGTTTCAAAAGCAAAACCAGTACAAGTCTGGTCTAAGTTCTCAATCTCATTAAAACATAAATTGAAAAATATGCATAAAGGCTATGTATAGCAACAATAATTGAAAAAAAGAATAGAAAACATAAATTGTACATTAGACGCACTCAGTAATTTTCATTAAAAGTTTAATTAGCCACTATGGAAATTAATAGTTGGCTACTTTTGAACAATGTTAGGGAAAGTTTTGATCCCACTTTATATTAGGTGTCTTTAACTACTAGGCCTGTACAAACATTTTAAATTAATAATTTGATGCAATGCACTTATTGTGTACAGACTTTTTTACAATGTACCATTTTATAAGGTGCACAAACTACAAGATCTTTGGTCATGCGTAAACCCCAACTAACAACGGAAAAAAAAAAACGTTTCTTTACATTACAGGCAGACAGGCTCAGATCACGTCTCTGATATGCTCTTATTTGACAAGCATCAGCGACCGAAACGAGCACAGATTTGGCCACGGTCCGGGGGTTTTGTAGCCTAGAAATCTAGACTCCCCCTAGCGGCTGCAAAAAAATATTTTGCAAAAATATTTTGCAGCCAGTGTAGTCTAGCAACTCTCCGTTGACTTTCGAGCTGGAAAAACCAAACTCTAGTCAGGCCAATCACATCGTGTATAGAGTCGGCGGGCGGCCTTAAAGTCCCCGTGAACCGGAAGTTGCAAACGACTTTTCTCCAGTGTTGTGACGTATTTCCGAGAGAAACCGAATACTAAATGAGGCAAAATAGTGGGCGTGGCTTTTTTTCCAACTAGCACCTGATTCGATCTAGAAAAGTAGGTGTTTTCATTCAGCCTGTCTACTGTCTGTTGGAGGGGCGTGGTTACGGATGTTAAGCAGACACCCAAACCGTCAAACCTACGTCATCAGGAAAGGTCCTCCAATGCAGAGGGGAGGGGAAATTTCAGATTTTAATTAAAGATTACGAAGCCAAAAAAATTTTTTTGTGTGGATTGACTTGCATGGATGAATTGTTCACCACAAAACGATCAATTTAGGCAAACAAAGTAGGTATGGTCAATTTTGAATTCATGGGGACTTTAACATAATGACGACAGAGATGCGACGGTTCACTGCTACTTGAAAACAAAGAATGGCTGCTGCTGCTGGCGAACAGCTGTCTTTCGATTCGGCTTTGGCCACGACTGGATGATTTAAAGTTAAGCTTTTCTTTGAAACATGAACAAAGAACGGCACTTGATTCATTTTTAAAAAAGGAAGATGTGTTCGGAGTTTTGCCGACTGGATACGGTAGCGCTATCCTATTGCGTGCAGAGGGAATTTGAAAGACAACCGTTTATCCCCCCCCTCGTGTTGAGCCCTGTCAATGGTGAGTTCCCAGACCTAACATCCTGATGTAGGTCTGGCATGCCAGGCTAGGGGTTTTGTAGCAGACCTTGGACAGCAAAATCCAGCCAAATGTCGTGTAGTGTAAGCCTGCCTTAACCCACACTTGGCAAGGCAAGGCAAGTTTATTTATATAGCACATTTTATACACAATGGCAATTCAAAGTGTTTTACATAGAAGAAATTAAAATAATCAAAACAAATAAGAATAATTTAAACCGTTTAGAATAAAAAATAAAATAAATGAATACTGGTCCACGCCAATTTGGGTCACAACTTCTTTTATTTTTCTCTCGGAATCGTTCCTGATGCAACCCTGGCACTTAATTTTTTTAACTGAGTTCTTTTTTTAAGCAAATGAATTAAACTGAAAGGTATTGTGCATTACTTTCTTTAAAGCAACTCAAATTTTGATATGTAAATGTATAAAGTAATGTGTTACTTCACTACATCAAAAAGTAATTAGCCTACGTAATGCACGCTACTTGCAATGTGTTAGCTCCTACACAGCTTTTGAAAAATTCTGTTTAAAAAGAGACTTACATCTATGAAAGCTTCTTTTCGCCATGGAATAAAAAAAAATTAAAAAGGCATTTGATGACTTTTTTCTCCCGGAATTGTGAGTTTATATCTCACAATTCTGAGGGGAAAGGGTCATATGCCCTGTGGGGAAAAGAATTGTAAGATAAAACATTGCAATCACCATTTTTATAAAAAAAAATTATTCTGTGGCAGAAAAAAACGTCCATACACATGAGTGTTGTGAGACTACAACTAAAACAAACTATTAAAATGTTTTTTTTGGTAATTAAAATAAATCTGAAATAAAATAAAATAAAAATAGTAGATTAAAAACAAAAACTTCATTAATAAAAAACTTAAATTAAAATTTTAAATGTTGCCTCGGCAGCTAAATGAAATAAATAACAATTACTAAAAAAAAAATTTAAATTGATAAAAGCACATAATATTAAAATTAAAATGATAACTGAAAATATACAAATAACAGCTAATTAAAAATATTATGAATATAATACTATATAAAAAAAATCCTAAAAAAGGTTTGATAATTGATACAAAAGGTAAACAAAAATTCTGCTGACAATACTATACCTTTTTTAGCCATTTCTCTTTGAATATCTGTAGAGCGTTTGTTGCGCCTAAAACCAGACTCGCAGCTTAAACCTGGAAGTACAATGAATTGGAAAATATTATTTCCATATTGTAACAACCCTTTCATGTAAAGGCAATAAGCACAGTACCAGTCTGTTTCTTTTTAAGTACTGATTGAAAATAAAAACACAGAAAATTAGCATTAGGTTTCCATTTCTCATGTAGCCTACTGTAATAGAGAAGAATTTGGCACTGCAACGGCTGGTCCGAACAGACATGATGCACAGTTATTTGCTATATGTAACAAGTAATATTTAAAACCCCACACCCAACAAACAAACTGTGTGAAAATTGTCTGAGACAATCCCAAAGAGTAATTTTATAGAACTACTAGTTAATGTAACCCCACCTATATTGTCTCCTTTCAAATTAATGCTCATTTAATGACTCACACTTATGTGTATATCACCTCCTCACAGAATGCAGCATGTGTTTGTTATATTAATCAGAGTATAAATGGACACGGAACCATCAAAACCTTCTTCAGAGACTTAACAGACTGCTTCAACTGCAAAGGACTGTATGAGTTCCCAGATTACGATTCTGCCTGCAGATTGATGCCACTTAAACGATTCGCGCTGTACATGCTAAGAAAGAATAATTTTTCTGTGACCATGAAAAAAACCATTTCTGAGAGCTGATACTTGTACCCCTACTCAGGTTTACAAGTCACTGAGTAGAATGAACACACTCAAGGCGGCAAATCCAGATAACACCCCAGGATGTGTCCTCAAGGTGTGTGCTTCAGAACTGACCAGCGTAACCACTGACATCTTTAATCTTTCCTTCACCCTGGCTACAGTCCCCTTCTGTTTCAAGTCCACCACTATCATTCCTGTTCCAAAGAAAGAAACAGACTCCTGTCTTAACGACTACAGACCATTGGCTCTCACAGCGGTTCTCGTGAAGTTTTTTGAGAGTCTAGTCAAAAAACACATTCTGAGCATTATGCCAACAAACCTGGACCCACTACAGTTTGCATATAAGACAAATAGATCCATAGAGTATGGTATTTAATTTGCTATTCACAAAATTCTGACTCACTGGAAAATAAAGATTGCTATGCCAGACTACCCTTTATTGATTATAGTTCGGCATTCAATACTATCATCCCCTCAAAACTGATGACCAAGTTGCATAACATGGGGCTGCCTTCTACACTGTGTAACTGGATACTGGAGCTTCCTCACAGTAGACCACAACATTTTCGCATTGGAAAACACCCCTCCAGCACCAGAATAATGAACACGGGCACTCCTCAAGGCTGTGTACTCAGCCCCATACTGTACACTGTTTTCACGCATGACTGTGTCGCTACCCAGCCCAACAATGTCATCATAAAATTCGCAGATGACACCACAGTCATTGGTCTTCTTGTCACAGGCAAAGATGAGACTGCTTACCGGAAGGAAGTGTTAGAACTGGTCACATGGTGTGAGGCTAATAACCTCACACTTAACATCAGTAAGACCAAGGAGATGGTTGTGGAGGAATGAGAATGTCTATCAGCCACTACTGATCAGAGAAGCTGAGGTAGAGAGAGTGGTCAGTTATAAGTTCATTGGTGTCCACAACTGTGAAGACCTCAAGTTGACGCAGAACACAATGAAACTGGTAAGGAAGGCCAACCAAAGAATATACTTCCTTAGGAGACTGAGGAAGTTTGGCATGTCACCACATATACTCCATAACTTCTACAGATGCACTGTGGAGAGTGTGCTAACTTGCTGTGTGGTCTGGTAACAGCACAGCGAGCCCGTTCTCATCCCAAGGCGTCATACATGTGACGCTTTGGACATTTCGTCGAAATCTTACACACATGGCATCCTTTAGCGTCAATATGAGACGCAGAACCCAAGGCGTCATACAGGTGACGCTCGTCTAAATCCGACGCACATGGCATCCTTTAGCGTCAATATGAGACGCAGATCCCAAGGCGTCATAACCGTAACCCTACCCCAGACCAAAACCTACCCATAACAGTGCGTGTTATATTGACGCTAAAGGATGCCATGTGCGTAAGATTTCGACGAAATGTCATATGGCGTCACCTATATGACGCCGAAGGATGAGAATGTGTTGGCACAGCACATGACAGAAGGGCACTACAGACGGTGATAAAGCTGGCCCAGAAAATCACAGGGACAGATCTCCCTTCACTGCAGGACATCAACAATAAAATGATTTACAAACAGACTAGCAGCATTATCAGCACTGCGTCCAGAACACCCAGGCTCCGGAACAGTCTATACCCCCAGGCCATTCGACTGATAAATGGTTGTCACCCCCTGCCACTTCCACCTAGACAATAAGGATTAGATAAGCCCCTCTGCACTTTACCTACTGGACTTTGCACTACCTCATACTGCATTTAACTGATAGGCGTGGACAATTCAAATACCAACTTTACATAGACACTCGACACTTTAATTCTAATGCCGATTTATCGTTACCTGCACTGCAACATTATAATGTAAAAGACTTTAATCTCTTATTCTTTTATTCATACAGAACATATAATTGTCATTACTTATTAATTTTAATGATTATTCCTGGTTTGTCATTCATGGGATATTTTCTATGTTTTATCGCCTTGTCCTTATATATATATTCTTGTATATTCTTTTATATTTTATTGTCTTTGTAATTTATTGTATGTTCCCCTTCTACCCTGTTTTTCTCGTGAGGAGATAATAAAATAACAATTTCATTGTACCAAGTACATCTGACAATAAAGATTTTAAACTTTTGATAGACCGACAAAGTGTTCACTGGATGAACAGGTTAACTGATTGTAATGTTAATTCTGATACATCAAGTTAATTCGATTAACTGATCCAAATATTTGTAATTAATTATGTTATGATTAATTATTGATATTTCCCCTTTGAGCTAATTTGCTACAGCATCATTTAGCACCTTTTCTCATCATTGAACGGATTGTGGTCGAGTGTGAGATGAAGGTCAGACCAGCGTCATTAAAAACAGCAGCTGTGTTCTCTCCACCGCCATACGAACACCCCAGATCATAAGACTGCATTGAGGTGAACACCTTCACAAGGGGAAATTGAGAAACAGTAAAAGAATGAGAACTCAAGAACAGATTTAAGTTTATCTTATATGTATATCTGATATACAGTATCTAATTTTTTATTAGAGACAGTACAGCACACCTGTTTTGGAGTGAGTTTGTTTTGAGAACCCAGGGGGTAAATGGCTTTGTCCACAACTAGTAAGGCCACTTTTGCATTCTGTGTTCCCACATCAATGTCAAGCTCAGCTGAACCTTCTGGCTCATAATTATGATTGCCATTCAGTTTTATCTCAAGCTAAAAAGGAGATGGGAAAGCAGAACTGTAAACATTTGGCAAGATTTTCACTATACTGTTTAATTCTGACATAAAATTATGAAAACATTGTAAGCTGTTAAAAATAATTTGAACGATTTTTAGTGTCTGTTTACCTTTCCTTCACACCTGTCCTCTACATCCACCCACACCGAGTCTGCAATGATGTCACCATCTGTGTCATAGTAAAAGGCGATCACTCTGAAGGACGGGATCATCTCTGGGCTGATACGGATGGATATTTTTACTGTAGAACCTGATGCAACAGAGCTCGCTGTTCTCAGCATGCCTCTGCTGACAATCTGAACAGATGCACATATTTCTCAAGAGTTCAGAGGTTTATAAAATAGTCAATCTTAATGAAAAAAACCTAATGAGTGCAGTAAAAATATCTAAACATGCTTTCTGTAAATCAAAATAAATGTGCTAGAGAAGGAAAATTGAGTAAGAGATTTAAAATATTGTTTTCTGAGAATATACCTTAATTTTTTTCTCGACCAATGGTATATTAAAAACATTAGACATTTCACCACATGTAATAGAAGGAACATTTAATACATTACTTACCATGTAATATATTTGCCCTTCTACTGGATTGCCAATGACATAAAATACAACATCTAGAGAATCTTCTAATGACAGGACTTTATTAGTCACACTCAGATACAGGAAGCTGTTTTTTGTGGATTTCTTTGGGCGCACTTCTTTGGTTGACCTGAAACCATCGACTGTTGCCTGTTGAAATTAATCAATCAAAAATGTACATAGGGTGGAATATGTAGAATATAGTAACTGAAAATTTTATTTTATTTTTATTAGGCCTGTTTCACACCACCTACAAAATCATTGTATGTTGTAACTAAAGGGTTAGTTCGCCCATTTAAGACATGAAGTTGTATGCAATCCTTACCAGCACTATAGTGCATACACACTGACCCACTCTGTTGTCACCTCCCTGGTCAGAGTTCTGGCCGCTGGAAGTTTTTCAATAAAGTAGCCTACTCCCGGTTATTTTCCGGTGCCACAAAACCGTATGTTTTTACGTGAAAAAATGATTTGCGTTTCAAAGCTTGATTAATTTACCACACAAAAAACACGCCAGTCAAAATTCATACCTCAGCTTCAATCGGCACTATTTTCTATCCATTTCTATCAATCCGCGCTGCTGTCAACGTCAACAGTGCGCACGTTCCGATCAGTGTTCCATAGTGTTTACACAATCGATTGACAACGACGTAAAAAGTATTAAATTAACAATGGTGCGAACTTGTAAATTCCCAGGCTTTGACCACAAGGATGTGCCGGGATCAAAGTTCAGATTCCATCGTTTTCCTGTTTCGAATATAACTATGAGACAGCTTACCGAGCATTATCTCCATCTGCTGTTAGTCGACCTCACCAGCAGGGGGTGCAAGCGCGTGTTGTTGATTTGGCTGGTTGCCATCGGCTACAGGCTACACTGCGGGAGCTAAAATATCCAAAATAAAGGATTTCCGTGTGTGTAGTGCTCACTTCAGCGAAGACGATTACATCCCCAATCAAGGAGGAAAAGGAAAATTAAAGAGTTTTGCTGTCTACCAGTACCACGGGTAAGCTCTATTTATAACTTTATGATCCCATGTCTAAACTGTACGTTAAACAAGCTGATGTTTAGACTCCATTATAAAACACGTGAAAAGATGTCTAATATAAAAACAGCTAGGGATATTGGTACAATTTGCTGAGAAAACTATTTGATTGAACACACACACAATTGAGGTTTTGTGTTGCAATCAATAACATTGTCGTTGTGCTAAAATTACTTTCATCATCTGATCCGTCTGGCATTGTGCTAAAATTGGTTTCATCATCAGAAGTTTCGCAGTCAGACATGTTGTCAGCGAGTCGCGCTATCAACAGCTGATCGGAACGTGCGCACTGTTGACGTTGACAGCAGCGCGGATTGATAGAAATGGATAGAAAGTAGTGCCGATTAAAACTGAGGTATGAATTTTGACCGGCGTTTTTTTTGTGTGGTAAATTAATCATGCTTTGAAACGCAAATAATTTTTTCACGTAAAAACGCACAGTTTTGTGGCACCGGAAAATAACCGGGAGTACTTTATTGAAAAACTTCCAGCGGCCAGAACTCTGACCAGGGAGGTGACAACAGAGTGGGTCAGTGTGTATGCACTATAGTGCTGGTAAGGATTGCATACAACTTCATGTCTTAAATGGGCGAACTAGGCCTAACCCTTTAATACATAATAGTAAAAATAGTAAATATCAGCAATGGGTTTCATACACTGTAACTGCTTGGATTTTTTTTTTTGGATTACCTTATCACAAAAAGGATTTGGAGTGTTCTATTTGAGCAAGTCTCTTTCTTACGGCTTGCTCCCTTTTTTGTCAGGGGTCGCCACAGCAGAATAATCCGCATAGCAAAGCACACAAATATGAGTACGCAATTGGTTGTCTATTGTTAAGTGTCTAGCTGTAACATTCTAACACCACATAGTTTCACACTGTACAAGTTTGGCACCGCAATGTGGCAAAATCTGGGGCTTTTGCCAGCAGTGTGAAACAGCCTTCACATGTATTAAAATAACTGTATTCTTTGATTGTTTAACCTTCACTGAAATGGAAGGTGGTGTTCCTTCCAATTTGAAATTTTGAAATGCGATTCCCTCTTTATTAGTTTTAATATTTAGGGTCTTTTCTTTGGTGCTTGAGACATCTAACTTCACTTGAACGTCTTCAGCTGGTGAACCATTTGGGTGATGGACTGTGACCTAATAAATAACAGAAACCACTGTTACCCTATCCCAAAATCATCAGCAAAATGTTTTCTATCATAGAGTGAAAGCTACCATTATGAATTACTGCAAGCATAATCCTCTATGACTGACAGTATCATTATGATGCATAGTATTATAAATAGAAGTTTGATTATATCAAATGGTGTTTTATTTACCACCGCTTGAAAGGGAAATGTAGGTGTGTAGAACGATCTTGTCCGAGACAGATCCACATTGTACGGACTCAAAACAACGGGAACGAAAGCTGCTGATTTCTGTACCTCACCACCTTTGAGAGGTGCACAGTCATTTTAAGTAAAAAAAACAAAAACAAAAAAAAACATTAGGCTACATAGCACATGCAGACAAATTACATTGGTTTGTCTGTTTAATCAAAAGTCTGTTCAGGTAATCTTGCATTTTTGGGGGCAGATTTACTAAACAAATTAGCAAATTAGCATAAAACTGCAATCCCATAAAAGCACAGATGGGAGTTGAAAGTTATGCGAGTAATCCACTGACAAAAAAAAAAAAAAAAAAAAAACAGAGAGAAAGAAGAGATGCAGCCATGTCAAGAGCAAAATAGGTTAAGACTCTTTTTTTTCAATGTTAAATAATGGTGCAAATACCAGTATAAACAGAAAACATTAGTAAATCCCATTGCATGATTTATTTAAATACTCTCCCTCCATAATTTATGCGTATGAATGGGAAAATCCAACAAATGCATATGCAATAAGGTCAGCTGCAAAAATATCTGTGCATGCCTCATTGTGTGTCTTTAAAATCATAACAGTAGTTTTAACGCCAAAAGAGGGTTTGTGTTGGCACGAGCTGTTAATAAATCTGACCCTTAGTCTTTAAAGTTCAATTAACTTTGACAAAAAAATGATTTCATGTCTTGTGTCACGATTGATTACTTAAAATATCTGTGACTGTGACAGCAATGTAGAATTGGGCCTGAATCACTGCCAAATTTTCTAATGTTGAATCCAGGAGTTGCTTTATTTCTGAAATTTTAACTGTAATCTCAGCATGGCCTCCTTTCACCTAAAAAGGGGAAAACACCATGAAAGAATATTAAAGAGTGATCTATGAGTATAGTAATCTATGAGTGTACTTACTTTTCTTGGCGATTCAATAGATTACGGTTTCTACTCACAGATCCAGTTTTCTCCAGTCCCTGGATGAATTTTATTTCTCCAGGATAATTTTGTGACTCGTCTTTTTTCATCCCAAACCAACAGTTGAAAGCACCATCAATTACCTTGCCATATGTGTATCTTTCAAATCATTAAAAAGAAAACATTTTTAATCAACTGTCTCAAATTTAGTAATTTCTAATTGATACCATTAATAGAATCCCCCCTAAAAATACAGGTTTGGAATGGCATAAGGATGAGCAAATGACAAAATTCTTCTTTTGGGGTAAACTATCTCTTGAAGAGTGTTATTTGATCTGAATGTGAACTTACGAGGCTTGAATGGTGAATGTAAATGTCTCCGCATTCACAAGCAGAAAGGTTTTCTCTGACTGAACAGTAACCTCAAAACTAGGAGGAACTGACAAAAATGCAATGTATTTGAGTTAGATGCAATACGATATCTGGGAAATAAAGTTATATGTGTATATATATATATATATATATATATATATATATATATATATTGATAATTGAAAATATGATAATTTCCATGACTAGTTTAATTTAATTTACCAAATTTCTGGACCCTGAATTCACACACTGCAGGATTTTTCTCGTCACCTTTGTAATGTGCTGTAATCTTCCATACACCAGGTCTGGAGAGATTGAAATAAACATCTTATATGGGCTGATAAAAAATACAGCAGCTTCAGAATGGTGCCATCTTAAAAGACTGAACAGCCATCAGAGATGTTTTACTTCAAGATATTTAACTAAGATAGAAAATGAGATTGACTGTACTTTGAAATATCAGGGATGTGGTAGCTCTTTGACAGAATGCCATCTAAAACTTTGTGTGTCGATTTCTTGACCTTGTTCCCAGCAGCATTCTGAGGATATAAAGGTCAGTTAGGCATCCCTTACAAAACGTTAATAAAAAAATACACATAACAAAAAGCTGAGAAAATCACTTATTTGTCAAAGACTACATCCGGATCGGATTTAGAATGATGATCAAAATTGATCAAAATCATCAATGGAGTAGATTGCTTCCATCAACACCCCCAAAGTTTCAGTCCTAGACTTCTTCCTAGGTTGGGATTCAATTTGGTAATGTCAGGCAGTTTTGTCAGATTTATATGCTTTTTAATGTTTGATGATACTTGTTTATCTCGCTTGTTTCTGCTGCTTCTTCGCCTGTGTTTTGATCTGGAGATTTCAGAAGAAAAGCGTAATAGCTTCCCCTACCATATAACAGTGAAAACATAGATTGCCCGACATTTCTGTAAATGATGGAGAGAGAATTTAGGAGATTTGAAGTAAACTCCTACACTACCAGTTCGCATACTCAGATTTAGGAACACGTATTTTTTTTCATAAATCAATATTTTTAAACAATGTAAGTTTATAAGACAGTATATAAATCTATGTGAAAATGCATTTAATAGGCTATCAATCAAAGTATTAAAATACAAACCAAGTATACTTAGCATATTTAACTATGCGTTTAAGTTTGATCAAAAGATTGAGTACAAGTATAGGCCAAATATACTTAGTCTTTCACTGTCAGTATGGCTCAAGTATACTTAAGTGTCATTTTAAGTATATTTCGGAGAGGTACATAAAGTATATTTCGGAGAAGTACACATATTTCTGAGAAGTACACAAAATGCAGACTGAGAGTATAATTCCTTATTTTTAGTTTAAAATAAGTATACTAATAGCATACAGTTTATTTTTGCTCAATAAATTATGAAATTAATTTAAGCTACAGGAATAATCATATTTCATGAGATAATCATATAAAAAAAAACCTCAGAGAATAATTTATTGACAGTAAGATAATGTGTTAGTACTTTCATACTTACATATATAGAGATAAGAACTATCACTGATTTTGGTTGCATGGAGTGGTCCAGAGTGAAGACCCTGAACAAAACTGAGAAACAGTAAACCAGGTAAAAACAAAGCAGTAATATACATACATAAATTTTTGACTTGTGACATGCTACATTTACATTATGTGAGAGACTAAATGGAAAGTGTGTAGTTCTTTCACCTTTGGGGCCAATTAAAATGAACTAGTTAAGTTAGTAGGAACCAGAAAAATATATATATTTTCAGTTAGGACCTGAGATACACATTAATAATAATAATAATAATAATAAATACGTCACCTATTGTGTTTTGGTTCTGTTCCAGTCTATCTGACTTTGCCTGTGTTCCCTAGTTAGTTTCATGGGTTGTTAATTAGTCACATCTGTTCTGTTTTCCATTGATTACTCCAACTGTATTTAACCCTCTTGAGTTTTTTCTTCAAAACAATGTGAAAATCATCCTGACCACTCCTTCATACAAAACAATATATTTATTTAACTTTTGTAAGACACTAATTGTCAGAATGACTGATATGCGGGGAGGGCGTGAAACATCATAAACAATGCTGTGATTCACACCTGAAGAGACAAAGACCCTCCCTGGGAACATCAATGAGGAATGTGACAGAGGGAACTATAGAGAATGAATGTGAGGAGACTTAATGATTGAATGTATTGTTTTGGCTTATTCACAAAATCAAGTTTAAGTTAAAAGAAGTACCATACCGTAAACTGACTATAAATTTTCTTTACACAAAGACTTTACTTAAAAACTGTTCCATTTAAATATATTTTAAAATGGAATTTATTCCTATGATCAAAATTTTCAGCACCATTAATCCAGTCTACAGTGTCACATGATCATTCAGAAATCATTGTAATATGATTTGCTGCTCAAGGAACATTTTTGATTATTATCAATGTTGAAAACAGTTGTGTAAAAAAAAAATCAGGATTTTTTGATGAAATGCTGTTATTTTGAACTTTCTATTCATCAAAGAATCCTGGAAAAAATTGTACACAACTGTTTTTAACATTCATAATAATAAGAAATGTTTCTTGAGCATCAAATGAGCATATTCAAATGATTTCTGAAGGATCATGTGAAACTGAAGACTGGAGTAATAATTAACATCACAGGAATAAATTGCATTTTAAAAATATATCCAAATAGAAGTCTGGAAATAATCCAACGAATATAAATAAAAACGTACTCATCCGAAATTGTATTCACGGCTGGATGAAGTCGCTATTCAAAATGTAAACGTTCATTGTCGGAGTCCCGCTCTTCTTCTGAGGAAAATGCGATCTCTTCGTCACTATCCAGGACGAGCTGAAGAGCTTCCTCACCTGTGTAGCGTGCCATCTTCTAAACGCGCAGGAAAGTGAATGAAACTCATGATGAAACTTTAAGGGTTAGTTCACCCAAAAATGAAAATTTTGTCAGTAATTACTCACCCTCATCATGTTGTTCCAACCCCGTAAGACTTTCGTTCATCTTCGGAACACAAATTAAGATATTTTTTATTAAATCTGAGAGCTGGATTACTCCTCCATAGGCTTCTTAAGGGATCGAAACTGACCGGCCCAAAAGTCATGAAAGACATCGTTAAACTAGTCCAAGTGACTACAGTGGCTCAACCATACGTATATCAAGCGACGAGAATACTTTTTGGGCACAAAAAACAAACAAAAATAACGACTTTATTCAACTAATCATTTCCTTCTATGTACGGCCGTGATATTTCACGTAGTGATATCGCGCAAAGCTTCTAGGTTGCACGTCACACGTAGGCTCACTATTGGCCGACGCTGGTCATGTGTGTGATGCGTGACGTACAACCTAGAAGCTTTGTGTAGTTTCACTACGTGAAATATCACGGCCCACAGAGAAGGAAATGATTAGTTGAATAAAGTCGTTATTTTTGTTTGTTTTTGCGCACAAAAAGTATTCTCGTCGCTTGATAAACTTAAGGTTGAGCCACTGTAGTCACTCGGACTATTTTAACGATGTCTTTCATAACTTTTGGGCCGGTCAGTTTCGATCCCTTAAGAAGCCTATGGAGGAGTGATCCAGCTCTCAGATTTAATAAAAAATATCTTAATTTGTGTTCCGAAGATGAACGAAAGTCTTACGGGGTTGGAACAACATGAGGGTGAGTAATTACTGACAGAATTTTCATTTTTGGGTGAACTAACCCTTTAATGATTTTTAAGGCATTGTTGGGGGCATTTACCATTTCGCATTGATCGCCTCAACACATTATTTTATGAAAAGCGCGCTCTCCGCGTAGGTGTGATCACATTAACGATAATTATCTGAGCCAGGAGAAACTGTACATATCTTTAGTTTCATACTGATTACATTGCAGGATAATACTTGTTTTAAATGTGAATTGTTTTATTTAAAAGTAGACATTTCAAGCTTTCTTTAAATGTACGTTTTATGTTTGTGTGATAATATTCGCTGAGTTTCAGAGACTGCGACAGCTGAAAGCTCGCCCTGTTTATTTTCTTTATTTTACAAAAACACAAGGATTTGTTGTTATTGTGAGTGTAGCCTACACAAATAAAAGAAGACCCTTTATAGTTTATAAAGATGTATAAAGACTTATATGTATGGCCAAAAATGGCGGAGTAGTGTAAGTTGTTTAAGCTGTCATGAGGAAAAAATCCAGCAGAATGCGTCGGCGCGTTCTTCGGGCTCAGGGGTTTAATCTCTCATATTCCTCAAGTTCATTGTCTGGTATCGTCTTAGTTTTAGTGGTTTTGTTTAATGTGTTTGTGTGCAATCTCCATAGTATTCCTGATGGATTTAATAAAAACTATGTGTTATTCACGTTGTGACATAGGCTGCTGTAATTTCTTGATGTTAATGAAAAGAAAACATCTTGATTACTGTTGTAACTCTTGTTGCCTGATGAGGGAATGGAGATGTTATGTCGATACTGACATTAGGGGGTCTTAATTGGGAGCCCCAATGAAAAAAATGGCCAATGAATTTGGCGAGTGGAATTTGCATGGCTAGCCACTCCCCCGGACATAGGGGTATATAAGACAGTGGCCTGCATCCAGTATTCAGTTTTGTGCTGAGGAGCCGAGACTGTGTCCCGGCCATTCAGCGGGTAGTTAAAGGTTGTGACAGGAGGGAAGTAACGTCTCTGTTCCCTCCATCAGAAAGGGTTTTCAAAAGTAACGAAACGTTCCTTTTCTGTTTGCAATACATCGATACTGACATTAGGGGTCTCTACGGAAAGTGCCACAACAACTGAAATGCATTACAGGTGCTGGCGATGCAAATACTGGTAAGATGTAACTTGTCAGCTACCAAATACCCTCGCCCAATTGTAACCTTCCCAACGCCCTATGTAAGCTGAATAGTTCTTCATGCCTGTCAGGATGGAATGGACAGATCTTACCACAGCGATGGTCATTAGCTGCTGGTCCTATGTTCTTTCCTGAAAAGAGTGCTTTGGCTCTCTGAACATTAATTTTTACAGCCATGACCAGTGGTTAACACTATGGAAGCGTGCCTAGTCCAGAGTAGAGGACACTACGTAGGCCACATCCTACTCTTAGGGAAGTACATGTGTAAAATGCACATATGGACTGACCCATGGGGCAGTTCTACATTCAGAAGAATCTCCAGGGATGGACCTGGTACAAACAAAGAGTGTGGGCAGAGGAAAATTTGCCAAGGGAAAGACACGGGTTTACCGACAGGAAAACCGTACAATGGATTACTGTCAGGGAATCACTACATATGGAGCATCTAGCCCAGTCCAGGGGCTGACCAACCAGGCATGCATCTCAAGTATTGGACCTGGCGTCGGACTCCTCCGCTGAGTACGATTGCAGAGGGATGCCCAAATGATACTCTAATCCAGGGTTTGCCAGCTGGGGAACTCTCATGGAGAGCACAGTGGGTGCTCACATCCCCCACTAGAGGGGAATGGCGCTGCAAGAGGACCAGGAGCCAGTCTTCCAGATTCTGATTTTCACGCAGCCTGTCGGCCTGCCACATGTCTGATAGAGAGGAGCTGTGTATTAGAACCCAGGAGGAGGCAACACTCCTCGTGAAGGGAGCCCTCACTCAGTAAGGGGCACGGCATGCCTTGGGCTTGGCACGCCAAGGCGATGGCATCCACTATCCAGTGGGCCAGCCTCTGCTTGGAGACAGCGTTTTCCTTCTGCTGCCCTCCAAAGCAGACAAAGAGCTGCTAAGAGCGTCTGAAGCTCTGCATGAGTTCCACGTAAATGTGCAGGGGACACAGTAACACTGCAAGGGCTGGGTCTGCTTCCTCCTGGGGCAGCTCTTTCAAGTTCACCACCTGGTCCCGGAAGGGAGTGGTGGGAACTTTGGGCATGTTCCGGGCTGGTATCTCAAGATCACGTGAAAGAAGGCTCAAATGGAGCTCAGAGGGAGCTGTCTGTACACCGAAGAGGACTACAAAGGGATCCCAGAAGGGAATGAGGTGTGGCCTGGGAGGATTTAACCTCGAGGACCCTCTCTCGGGAACATGATGATCTGGTCATGCTTTCCCAGGTACGTGCTGTCCTCTGCAAAGTGGTGTGCTGCAACAGCGGCAACATACACATTCAAGGCGGAGGGGAAGAGACTTCGCTCCAGCCTCTTTTGCAGAAAGGAAAGCACAGAACCGATCGGGCATCTCCAGGGGTCTTCTTGGCGCAAAGAGCACCACTCAGTGAACAAACTCCACTTAACCCTCTGGGGACCGCACACGCGCCGGCGTGTTCTGCTGTTTTTTTTTTCACATAGCAGCAACATAGACTTAAAATACTCCGTCATTTATGGTCATATAAATAAAATCAATACATGATTATAAACTATAGAGGGTCTTCTTTTTTTGTGTACACTCACATTAACATCAAAACCTTGTGTTTTTTTTTTAAATAAATAAAATAAACAGGGTGCGCTTTCAGCTCACTCTGTCTCCACAAAAATCTTTCTGAAAGACGTCTGAATAATGAACTGAAACTCAGCTAATACTTATCTCACAAACATGAAACATACGTCTAAATAACGCTTTAAATTTCTACT